TGGGTGGGCATCAGCCAGCTGTGCAGGTACCTCCAGGTGTTGGAAGAGGCAGCAAGGATTTTATCTCCTCCCACCATCCCAAAAGGCATGTTTTCCTTCTGGGCTGGGCAGGGTTGGGCTGGTTTCTTCTTATTTTAAGAGCTCCAGAGGAAAATGCCTGGATACAGAGCAGTGTGTAGGTTCCTGGCCTCCTGTACCACTGCCTGACTGGTTCTCACTGGGCTCAGCACAGCTCTGCTCTGAAATCCCCCTCACTTACCATGCTGTAGAGAAGGGAAAGTGGAGGGGTTACCAGAGGCTCTTCATGTTCCCAACCTAGGATGGGAGGCTGAAATCCACATCGAACTTCCCAGCTGGTGGGACTGAGATAGGTCCAGATGCTGACCTCTTTGCACCTTCTGGGTTCAGATACCCAGAAGTTGGACTGCTCCTTTCCAGAAGAGGAAATGACCCCAGGGAAGAAAGCTAGCTGTAAGCCTGAGATGGGGACCATGCTGATAGCAGGGCAGCAGGCATTCAGGGAGAGTTGGTGGATTTCCTTGCTCCTGGGAAATCTGGAGTTAAAAAGCACCGGAGTAGAACAACCCAGTTGGCACCAACCCGAGAGGTTGACATAGGAAAGGAAGAATCCAGCACCCGTTGTGTGGGCGATGAGGATGTGTGTGCTGCCAAAACAACAGGAGTTTACATACAGAGAGCTAACTTGCATGGCCAGATGTTCAGCTGCGCCTGGTAGGAGAGACCGTTCTGACCAGAACTCCCCAAAGTGCCTTGAGAAAAAGAGTCAGAAAAGGAGCTGATCTTAAAACTGAGATCATCTGGGAAGCTGACTAGGCAGACGTGGGGAGCGTCAATCTGAGATGCTTTCCCAGGCAGTGCAATGGGAAGCTTGCGAGTGGGAAGGCTGTGATTTATTCTCAGCAAAGGTGACCCGCAAGCTTTTCCGCAGCTGCACAGCCCGGAGCCTCCCACAGGGATAAGATCACGTGGGGGTCGCTGTGACCGCAGAAGCAGGCATGGGCATGCGTGCAACACGCTTCCTCACGGCTCTACAGGCGGGAGTGGGGAGCTCAGTTAGTGCTCAGTAATGCCTCTGGGGCTGAATGAGAGCCAGGACCATGCATTTTCTCCTGCTCCATGGTCCCACATGGACGCATGCAAATTCTGCGGCAGGAGATGCTCAGGGAGCACTGCTCCCTTGAGGAGTCTGCCGTACTGCACACCTGGCCCGGGGACCCCAACACCTGCAGCTGGGTGGCAAACAGGCTGTCCGCACAGTGCTGTCACCCTCCTGCTGGCCCGGTGCCCCATTCATCCTCAGGGAAGAGTTGTCCAACACAGCTGGGTCAAGGGAAGGTCACAGCAGGGTTTTCTAGCCTCCTTGCAAGACAAATTTGCATTTTCCATCCAAACCTCAAATCTCCTCAAAGTTTCTCTACTAGGTGCTTGTGTAAACACACCCCCAAGGCTGGGGATGACCTGTGACTGGGAGGATGCTGGTGCAAAGGGGATGCTGGTGCAAGAGCTGGGGCTGAGGGTGAAAGGAGAACCAAGTCCTGCCTTGGGTTTGTTTGTAGCCACTGGCTGATTAGGAAGTTAGCCTCCACAGTTTTTAATGGCATCCTCATGAATGAGGCATGTTGGGACTTCAGGAATCTCATGCTATGGGCTTGGACCTGCCAAAAAATACAGCAATAGGCCATGCAGCATATTTGTGGGAGCATGGGAAGTTGCCAGCTCTTTCCCCAATCCCCTGAGATCATCCCAATGCTGGCCGCTTCCGTTACCATGCACAGGCCCTCCCGAGGCATCCTATTGCCCAGGTTCTCTCCCAGGCTGACTAGACGTATATGCTGCTTGTGTCGCTTCTGAATCAGCATGGGCAGAGGCTGGCCAGGAACCCTGACGCCAGTCTGTGAAGAGGCAGGATTGTGTGGTGGGCCCTGGAAGGGCTGCGATTTGGCTACAGCCCTTGGGGGACCTCAGTCTGCTTTCCTCCTCCCATTCCCACACGTAAAAATTTCCCTTGCTCCTTGGGAAAAATCCCTGCCTGTCATCAACTAGCTTTGGAGGCCAGCCGATGGCGCAGCTCAGATGAACTGATGAGCCCTGGGGAGGTAGAGCAGAGGAAGTTACTGAAAAGCAGCATCCGTAGAGTGCAGGGTCAAAGCTATCCAGGGAATGGCACTGAAGTCTGGAGTGGATTTAGCTGCAGGGGGAAAATATCAAAATATTTCTTTAGGGACGATGAGCATTGGCATCACCTCAGTGACAAAAAAAATAAAAATGAAGCTGTTATTTAATTGGTAAAGGCTTGAAAAAGTGTGCAAATGGAACGATTAGTTGAATGAAATGTTTCCTTTGGCTAGATGGAGTTTTTAGGCTGAGCAGGTGATATGTAAAACAGAGTCCATCATGGCATCACATCCCTGGTCTTGGATCTGGCAGTCCCCTTCTCTCTCATCTCTCTGTGGAGCTGCCAAAGCAGATCCCATAAAGAGGCGACGTTGGCCTGTTGCCTTGTGTGGGGAGAAGAAGGCCTTGAGTTGTCCCCCTCAGAGGTGATGCTCTCTGGTCCAGGAACTCCTGTAACTGGTCTGCAGCCCTCGTCTGGTGGGTAAACTGGCAAGCTGAAATACTGAGGACATTGGGAGAGAGAAGACCTGCTGAGGGATGGCCGGGTGAAGGTGTGTGGCACCGTCAGACTGGTTGTGACCATCCTCCCTCTCTTCTCTTGCAGAGAATTTGAGCACTGAAGTTAGCCTCCTGGAGCTGATCGGAGACCCCCCGCCAGAGGAGATCCTCAAAATTTATGGCCCCGACAACAACCCAGGCTATGTCTTTGGACCCAATGCCAACACAGGCCAGGTGGCCCGGTACCACCTGCCCAGCCCCTTTTACCGGGACTTTTCTCTCCTGTTCCACATCCAGCCCACCACCCCCCGGGCCGGCGTGCTCTTTGCCATCACAGACTCCTCGCAGAGCATCATCTATGTGGGTGTCAAGCTCTCGGACCTGCGGGCGGGTAAGCAGCAGATCATCTTCTACTACACAGAACCGGGCTCCAAGACCTCCTATGCGGCGGCCACCTTCACCGTGCCCACCCTGCCGAACCAGTGGACACGCCTGTGGAAGAGGACGAAGTCGTCCTCTACCTGGACTGCGAGGAGCACGAGCGGGTCCGCTTCGAGCGCTCCCCAGATGAGATGGAGCTGGAAGATGGTTCTGGGCTCTTTGTTGCTCAGGCTGGAGGAGCTGACCCAGATAAATACCAGGTAAGGCCTCAGATCATCCCAAATCAGAATGTCTAAGGGAAAACCTGTCTTGAGACTGGAGGGATGTGACACCAGTCCACACGGACTTAACTAAGCCTCTGTGCCCAGAGGATAAACCATTGGATGTACTCTTGTGTTCGTTCCCAAGGAAGCTTGGGGAGGGCATGATGGTTTATGAAGCCACAAACTCTATTTTCTTGGGTCTTTCCAAGGCAAAGCTTGCAAGGCAGGCTGGCAGGAGGGGATGTGGTTGCATGACTGCAGCCCCCATTGCCTGTACCTTCTCCAGCCACTGGCAGAGAAAATGTGGGGGACAGCACAAAGAGTCTGCTTGAATCTCCACTTTGCTAAAAATACCCATCTCCTTTGAAGCCTGTTGATTTGGCTGGTAAAATATGTTTCTTAGCTGGAAAAAATGTTTGGGCCGGAGCATATCTTTGTTGGCCGACTTGGGATGGTATCTGCGGGAGGACTTTTGAGAGCTGGGAGAGAAGGTGATAGCTGAAACAGTTATTTAAGT